ACTCTCTGCAAATTTGTCAATCTTTGTTGGTTGCCTTTTTGGATGAGACAACAAGACTTGGCATTGGTTTCTCATTAGATTGCTATTACTGTAGAATTCCCTGCCTTGTTGATTCTTACCCATCACCAAGTTAAACGACAGTCTTTTCCCATGTTTACCCAAAACCTTGATGACATTGCTTGCCCATTCTCTCCTATAGTTTGAGAGAGTGTTGTCATCCGTATCAGAGACTCGTTACCAATTGGTTGTGTCGAGTATGTTGAAAGCAATACAGCTGGTTGAACATAGTCTTGCAGCTTTTTTCATCCTTTTTTTGGGACTGACTGTTTCATTGTAAAACCAATCAATCTTTCTGTCCTTTTTTTGGGAGAATAGATGAAATCCTTTTTTGGTTTTCTTTTCTGGTTCCCAAGGTTATAGCAACACTCCACAGAAATGGATAAATACCTCAAGTTGTCTTGTAAAGATATTTCGTGATTCACTCAGTTTCTTGAAAACGCAGAGACCAACATTCAAGACGTTGCAAAAAGATGCCGCGTAAAGCCAAAAACAACTTGTACATTTATTACTGATAACAATGGAGAGATTATCCTCAAAGGTCTAGCAGTAATCAAGGAGACTTTTTCCTTGTATAATACCCAACCTAATGTTTTAGCTATTGTCCCAGCTTTTCAAGAAGAGACGCAAACCAGGTTGGACGTTGTACAAAAAACATTGATGGATCACCAAGAAATCTACTCTTTCAAATGACAAGACTCCTCCTCAACGGCTCTTTCTCCAAGTCCATCTGTTTATTCTGTGTCGTCACATTTATTTATTTCTACCATTTGACTTTTCACACTTTTATGAATGTGTCTCGACGTGCTTTGAACATTCTGTCCAAGAACCTATCGACTAGTTTTAGAGCGACTCTGTTGGATTTTTGTTTGAAAGCACAAGTCTTGGAATGTAGGTTCTATTAGGTACTACTTTGCCTTTTAAAAGTCAAGGAATGGTTAAAAAAAAGATCCTCTTCATGCCGTAGCAATGCTTTTTGAGTTTTATGAAGAGGTATACACGTTAAACGAATATGTATGTTGGAGTCAATCGAAGAAGATAAAGTAAATACATCACATGTGAGACCCAGAAAAATATCAAGGAATTGTTCAACATTTCTTTCAATCGATTTACAGTTACTGACATCATAGACTTGAAAACACAAGCGAGAATAACATTGAAATAGTTGAAAAGTATCTCCAATAGTTTCTGTCAAACAATAAATGGAAAAAGATGCTGCATATCCTTGGTTTATTTATTGTTTACTACTATCCGGTTTAACGTAATATCCACATCAATAGACGTTGGATTGCTGAAAGACATCACCCGTGGAAGGGATCTCACCACCAGAGGAAGAAACTTTTTGAAAAGTTCAAAAAAAGCAACTAGAAAAGAGCGTCTGTGTTTGCTTCGTTGAGAGAAGAATATACAAGCCTGCTCCAGCGTATGTTGCATTTACAACGCTAAATTTTATTGCTCGAATATGAAATGGATTAGAAAAAGGCTATATAAAAACAATAGTGTTGGATTATAGGCTCAAGACTATGGAAGAGATGAAACCTGGGAATATGAGTTGACTTTTACAAGGAGATGAAGCGTTTTGACTTTTACAAGACGAGAATACTCTGTGCAAAAATGAGCGAGTGAAACAAAAAGTATAAAACGATATATTTATGGGAAAAGGTACAAAATAATATGAACAACGTCATTTGAGTCAAAGTTGGTGTCGCACGCTTTGTTCCACTTTTTACAAGACTTTTCTTCAAGGAAGCTATTTCAAATATAACAAGATATCGAGAGAGACGGTTGAAATGATCCATGAGATGGTGATAGATAAAACTTTCATTTACTGAACGATTAGTTTTATTGTATGGAGTTTTCAAAAACAAGCTCAAGTGTTATTTTTCCATTTTCGCACCATTTTATGTATGGTTCTACACCTTTATGAACAGAGAAACACTAGGTGTCATTTTTTATGCAAATTTTCCTTCGATAAATGCTATCTCTTTCTTTCTCGAAAATTCAAATTTGAGCAAAATTGTTTCCTGTTAAAATATGTTTGAAATACCTACTTGAAGGTACTTATTTGTATGCCCTAACAAAGAAAACGATTTTGTGAACTTTGACAAAGTCAACGTATACTTTTTCATGTCCTAGGAGATCTTCTGATACTGTTTCATAACTTTGTGTCCATTGTAAATTTCAGTCTCGTACAACTGTCAAATACTTTAAACTTTGGAATCTAAAAGGTAAAATTGTTTTTTTGTTTCCTTGAAAGAAATAAGAAAACCTTGCCAAATTTGGAAAGGGTTTGATTGTCAAACAGTAGTCATTTTGAGGTGTTGTATATTTGATATTGCCTTTTTTTAACTGACTAGCAGTCCTTTGGTAATTGGTAATAGGATAAGAAGCACCATAATTATTGTTTCGTTTAAAGTTGCCAACGATCTTACTTTACCTCATTCTGGATAAAAGGATTCCAATAAATATCTTTCAGTAGGCTTTTCATAAATGAAAACTACATAAGGTTACATGCCATCCATTTATTCATAAAGTTTTTTGTTTACTACTCGCATATTCTTATTCTTTTGAGAATGGACTGGTCCATGCATTTCACGAATTCTTTGTTCACTGGCTTTTATTCAGTTGACCAACATTGCCAATTGTTTATCAGATTTCATTGTCTTTTTCTTTTCGTAGAGACTCCGAAATTCGTTGTTCCGACTACCTTTCTGTTTGACTCGAAAATATTTAGAGTGTTTTCAACAATTGCTAAGCTATTAGATATACATCCTATCCATCATTGACTCAATTTTTGTTTCTTTTAAACTCAACAAAAAGGTGTCAAGCCTATATCGCTCTAAACATACACATAGATACATATATGTATATGTGTTAAAGCAATCAGGTAACCATGTGACCGAAAAGAGAGAGAGAGCAGGTTTACTTTGTAGCTTTTTGAAACTATCCAAGGAAATCATGGTGTAAAGAAAGGGAGAAAGCAGTAGACTTGACATTCCATACTGAGAAGGAAAAGAAAACATTTACCCAAAGTGTGTCTACTCAAGTTTATCAATTTTCTTCGACACCAAGGTCAGATGGAAACAGCTCTACGAACGAACGAACAAAACCTGGTCAACTTGCACTGGGAAGGGATTGTTCCAGATGACTAAAAGAGATGACTTTGATGGTGTGGAGGTAGTTGTTTCAAGAAGCACGAGCAATTCATATAAAAACGTGCAGTATATATAGATTGCCAGGCAGAAGACTAAAGAATTGTAATACACTATCAATTCGTTAATTCATTACTCTTTCCTTTTTTCAACAAATAGAAAGACAAAAGAGTATTTTTTATGATGATTGAGAAACGAACTGATAACTTTTTTTGCAGTATGGAAGCTCAGATTGATAAGAAGTTGGAAGAACGATCTCACTCCTGCAGACTTTTACATCATGCCGATGTAAGAATGCACTTTAGACAATTTGCTGATTTGTGAATCAAAGACAAGTTTTACCTATTGAAGAAGACTTATACAAGGCAAAAGACATAAATAGGAGTAAGTTCATTGTGCATTCTCAAGTTGAATATGGCTTGGATAGTGTTACTAGAGTGACTTGGGTTTTTTGAACTACCTTATATTGTCTGTCCATTTTTCATGAGTCTTCTTTTCCATCAAGTTGTTTTATACTAGCACACGAAAACTATCCCATATGTTAGTGGAGCTATTCATATCTTAGACTTTGTTTCATATAGTATTTATATATCGTCGATAGTCTCTTTAGTAGCAAATGCACAATGATCATATGGATTTATTAGAAGAATTTACCCAAATAGGTTTGGCAAACAAAATACGAACCACTACTAGTAGTCATTTGTCTTAACGCATAAAGGATAAGCTAGTTGATAGTTTGCTTGGCAAGAATCATAATGAGAGAAAATCCTCACATTCTTTCCCTGATAGTTGTAAATTGCTTTTAATAGTAAACAGATCGTTGACCGAAACTCGTTTGAATCCATTTTTTGCAGCAGTGACCCACTGTTGAATCATATTGGTATACTGTAAAATGAAGATTTTGATTTTGCTATTGGGTCTGATTCTGCATAATATGATGAGTACCAGTATACAATACACACTTTTTAGTGATTTTTTCTGCTAATGGGAAAGATGGGCAATTTAAAAAGAGGGGCCGAATGAAAATGTGCCCGCGCAATTTTGATTTGAAAATTGCCATTATGGGTGTGGGGTGGGGAAGAATGGGTAAATTGGGAATGGGGAAGGGAGTGAGTGGGGAAATTGCCAAGGGGAAAATGGGTGGGGAAAGGGGGCTTATTTGGGCCAACCCCAAGGTGATCGTGATTTGAAATTGCCATTGTGGTTGGTGGGGAAGAATGGGCCCATTTGGAGATGGGAGGGGAAATTGCGATGGGGGAAAATGGGTGGGGAAATTGCCAAGGGGAAAATGGGTGGGGAAGAATGGGCCAATTTGGGCCAACCCCAAGGTGATCGTGATTTGAAATTGCCGTTGTGGGTGGGGGGAAGAATGGGCCCATTTGGAGATGGGAGGGGAAATTGCGATGGAGGAAACTGGGTGGGGAAAGGGGCCAATTTGGGCCAACCAGAAAGGTGATCGTGATTTGAAATTGCCATTGTGGTGTTGCTGGGAAAGAATGGTTAATTGGAAATGGGGGCATTTGAAATTGAGGACAGTGTGCAAAGAGGACTGAGTGTGAATTGAAAATCTTGGGAGAATCCATCCATACAGGAAGGGTGTTTGAAAAATTCCAATTCGAAAAGCAAAAAAGATTGAAATTTGAACTTTAGTTATATTTTATGAGATAGTAGTAGTAGGAAGTTCAATTACATACTGGTCACATAATGTTTCCATGCTTTCATAATACATTTTTACTCTAAAATAATCTTCATATTAAATTTCTAAAGAAAGTATAATAACAATTTAATATAGTTACTTGAAACGTTGAAAACATTATTAAAAAATTTAATCATTGACTTAATTTTTAACTGTTACAATGAAATGTTCAAAGTAAATATTATATAAACACAAAAAAATCAACAAAGCAAAAAAAGAATTAATTTCAAAAACACTATATTTATACAGTATCCACTAAATTGACAAAAATAAATAATTTTTAGTTTAGTTTCAAAATATTTACTAAAAAGACAGACAATAAAAATAATGATAATAAGTAAAATTTTAAAGCTGCCTTGACACGCTATACTACAGACACGCCATAAACGCAAGGATTATTTTTTTTAAAAATTAAATACATCAAAAGTGAAAAAGTAACTTATAAAAAAAGAGGACATAGTCGTAGAATGTATAAAAAAAGGTTTTTTATTCAAAGAAATAGACATATTTAAAGTGATTAAGTAGAATGGTTCAAAAAAGTAGTGAACGAACTGAAAAAGACAAAGGATTGCATTTGGTAATTTGTCATTTGATGAGAGAGTATGTATGGGTGCATGAAATTGTCGATTGCGGGTAAAGGATGGTCGTGCAAGTTTGGTTTAAAAATTGTCATGGGGGAGTGTAGGAATAGGGGGAAAAGAGGGGCAAATCGGAAGTGGAAGAGGGATGGGGTCAATTGTGAATTGGAAATTGGCATGGGGGAAAATGAGTGGGGGGAAAAATGGGCAAATTGAGAAGAGAGAGGGCAACTCGAAATGTGGATGCGCAATTGTGATTTGGAAAATGTGCATGGGGGAAAATGAGTGGGAGGAAGGATTGGGGCCAATTGAGAAGAAAGGGGGCCAACCCAACAGCGATTTAGATTTGGGATTTATCATTATGAGTGGTGGGGGAATAATGGGTAAATTGGAAATGGGAAGGGGTATTGAAAACTGTCAGGGCAGTGTATGAAAAGGACAGAGTAATTTGAATTGAGGAAATTAAGAAAATACGATAAGGGTGTTAGAGGGATTCAAATTTTAAAAGTAGAAGATAAAAAGTTGAACTTCATTTATATTTTATGAGATGGAGGTGGTAGTAAGATTGACGACATACTGTTCACGCAATATTTCTATATTTTCATAGTAGAACCTCAGTCAAAAAT